CGCTGCCGTAGCGCAAAGATGTCTGCCTCCATGGCTGCGAGACCCGCTCCTATGTAATTATAAATAACGAATTCTAAGGAAACGCAAATATTAACGTTAAGAGGCGGAGCTCGTAGATGATGATAAAATAACATAGTTATGTATAATATATTACATTTCTGACTGTATATCCCTGTAATTATTACACACTGTAGCTTTAATATATATAACTGATACTCAAAGCAAATGCAAGGATTTCTTATAAACTCATGATACACAATACAGACACTCTGTCTACACCGGTAAAGAATCACTTACATTAGCAAGCCAAATGCACAAACTGACAGCAGTCAAACTTGATTTTCGATTAGTTCAATTAATGATTGCTTATCTTCTTGGATAAAAGGTCGTTAGAGGGGGAAACTATCTATATGTCCCAGTTACAGTTAGTTTGAAATGTTAATTAAAAAACAGTTTCAATGTTTAGTCAAAATTTGGGAACCCAAAAGAAAAAAAGGTACAAAAATAAAGGTAAAAGCTTAGAATATCGTTTGTTTTTTTCTGTTAACCAGTTTTTTTCTTCTTTGTTTGATGCAATAATCTGCTGATAGAGCCAACTGCAGTCCAAATGAAAGTAACAATAAAAGGAAATTTATATGACAATCAGATAAGCAATGCATGAGCTCTCTTTGTGCCTAAAAATGGGACGATGATCTGCCTGCATGAATGTCACCTCCTTTCAGTTTAATATCCTGATCTCATTCAGATGCAAATGTCGTTTTTATTATTTCTGACAAGTTTTATATGATGACAAACACATGAAAGAAGGTCCTAATCTTTTTTTTTTTTTTTTAAACAGCAACTGTAATGAGGGGAAAATTGCAGGCCTTCAAAATACACCATAAAGATATTACTTATTCGGTAATAAATATTCTTTTCTGACATCTTTATCAAGTCTTTAAAAAACATCAAATGTCCTTAAAATACGACCTTTGACAGATTATTTCAAGAATGTGTGAATGTACTTGCACAATCTATTATGGTCTAAAAATCCAACATTATTGTCTTAAAATTGGTGAAGCAAATAAAGAATAATATAGGGAATTTTTATTTTTTTGAGTTGATGTAATGTTTTATCACCTGTTTGACTCTTATTACTGATTGTTACGTCATGTACCTGTGCTGACACAAATGATCAATGCTAAAAGGTTCTGTCCCAGATACTGGACGTAGGCTAAAGACCATTGTGAAAATTATGCTAAAAAAAACCAAAACTAAATAATCCCCACAACAAAAATATGAAAACCCAGGGTTAATAAGGATTTCATAAAATGCTAAGCATATGGATTTGGGTCGAGGTGATGCTTAGAAGAAATCAGAAAAGGAAAAAAACAAAGGGTCGCAATTTTAGAAACTTTCTCTAAGTAGATACACAGCTCAGAAAATGTGTGCCTCCACATGAATGTACGTAATTCCCCTGAAAACGCTCTGAAAATATGCCATGCCTGTGGATGGGCTGTGATGCAATGATGGAAACAAGCCGAGAAGGGAATTGATCATGCGTACAACACTGTACGGAACTGCTGATGTTGTCACTTTCTGAGTGTGATGTATTTCTGTTGGTCAAGAAGTAGGCCGATGAAACAAGCACCTCAGGCAATGTTGCAGTAAGGTATTAGTCAAAGAGTTGGTTAGCCAAATTTTTTAATTCACAAGTGCAAGGTTATTATAATCAAACCTTCAAGAGTCTGTTTTATAAAAGAACCAAAGCTTTATTTTTCTGTTCTTCCTCCACTATCAGAAAAACTATCAAAGCTGTGTCCCTATTCATTAATTCTAGAATATTTCTATAATCTTTACTCATGTTAATATATGTAGTTGTTTGTTTGCAAAAGTAAAAAAGAAAAAAGAAAACTGGTTATTTTATAATTTCCTTTTTTGATTTAGTGTTAGGCTGGTCATAAGAGTTGCTCAAATGAATGAAACATATGTGTGATCTTAAATACCTCCAAACTAACGGGTAAAGTTAGCCTTAAAAGCCTCTAGGCTAACAGCTTATGTTAGCCTGAGATGTCTCAGAAATAATAGCTTAAGTTAGCCTGGAAGACCTCCAAGCTAACAGCCTAAGCTAGCCTGGAAGACCTCCAAGCTAACAGCCTAAGCTAGCCCGGAAGACCTCCAAGCTAACAGCTTAAGTTTGCCTGGAAGACCTCCAAGCTAACAGCTTAAGTTAGCCTGAGATGCCTCCAAACTAACAGCTAAAGTTAGTCTAGAATACCTCTGATGAGCTAACAACTAAAGTTAGCCTGGAATACTTTAGATGGGCTAACAGCTAAAGTAAGCCTGCAACACCTCTGCGCAAGTGGCTAAAGCTAATGGCTGCAGTAAGTTTAGTCAAGCAAACGTATAAACACATAAATGCTGCAGAGGACTGCTTTGCCATTTGGTTCTTACTAAAACTGCTTGTATTTCACCCTTTTCTGGTACTGTACAATTCACTGTATTGTGTGATAATAGAGATGGTTGAGTCACTCATTTACTTTATGAATCAGGTTGTGATTTCTTCACACTCAGGGTCAGGAGGGATTCCCATGTTGGCCATCACTGGAATGTTTTAGGAATAATCCAAATTTGTTCCAAAAACTCTTTTAATGTATGTAAAAGATTCGGCATTCAGAAAGCCCATTGGTTCAATTGATGTGGGTGTGGGCATTACATACAACATGCATGTTTTTGTTGTTGTTGTTTTTTTGCCAGCCCAATTGCAGGAGAAATATAGCACAGCAAAACATCTGAAACAGAAAAAAAAACAAGCTAGTCTGCATGTGTTTTTCAGTACTGTACCCTGTATCCCTGTATGCACGTGTCTGCTGTGTATGCTTTGATGTGTATGCCATCGTCTTTGCAGAAGATCACGGGATCGTCTCTCTCACTGTCTCTAGCATTGCAGAAATACACCCATCTGTCACTCCTAATCAGCAGAGAGCAGCTTGCATGTTCACAGGGTCTTACAGTGGAATGAAATCGCTTCACACACACATAAACACACATATATACACACAGATTACGCTAATGCTGACACAGTAAATCACAGAGCGGAGCACTGCATCCCTCTGGCAGTTGCTCATTAGAACATCTGGAAAACACAAAAAAGCCATTGGAACATTACCAAGCTGCACAAAATGCCATTATTTATGGTGTAATCTATGACTTATTTTTCATTTGATACATATGTAAGTTTTGAAAAGTCAAACTTTGTAGATTTTATTGTAATAGAATTCTACAAAATTGAAATGTAGCAAATAGCCCTGCCAAATAAATGGATATCCATGCACCCCATGTTCATCAATCCATCTTTCTGTTAAATTTTGAGAATAGAAGGAGCATAAACCAAATAAAGGAAAAGGGGTCATCATGTCTTCTGGCAGCCCAAGCCCATAGCAGCACAACTACATAGATAACTCCGGATAACCCGAGCCACTCTAACGCTAAGCTTTATCAAAAGGGAAAGTTTTAATCCCAGTCTTAAAAGTGGACAGGGTGTCTGCCTCACAGAATAAAACTGATAGTTGGTTCCATGGAAAAAGTACCTGATAACTTAAAGATCTGCCTGCCATTCTATTTTAAGAATACCGTAAATCCTCTAATATTTGCCTGTATTCCATTAGCGGCCGGGACTCTAATAATGGCCGGTCTCGCTGTCGGCGGAGGTAAATAACGGCCGGACTCGTATATAGGCTGGGGCTATAATTAGAACTAACAATGTTTCTGGGTAGTCCTCAAGAACTTGTGATAGTAACACACTTTTTCATCCACTACACATTCGGACACTCATCTAAAATGGTGTAATAGGGCACTATATAGGGCCCTATATAGTGATTAGGGTGGACATTTGAACTCAACCAATTTGTCTGCCCTAATACTCACAGTTTCGCTCTTGCGGCACTCAATTGCGCATTCCTTTTGAGAGTTAGTGTGGGGTGCCCCATTACAAAGAGCGCTCTGTCCCCCAGGCCCTCTAAGCACCCTTGAATTGTACAGTATAACCCACAATTCATTGCTGCTATGACATTTTTGAATCAGAGGAAATATAAGCAATGTTTTTCTGGGCTTATGTGAGATAAAAATTAACAGCTACAAGAACAAAAATCCCAAAATAACATCAGCAATAAACATATTGAAGGTTTACCATAAATGTGAATTTGGCTTTTTTAATCAAAGAAAATGTCTTAAAAAGAGAATCTGAACTCTTTCATAATTTCCCGATAAGAAAACTTGTAGAGTTCTTTTTTTAGTGTGGACTGTTAAAGGTTAGCAACACTTAAGCAGGGTGGTAAAAAAAAAAATCAAAGTCTATGATGATGACACTTGGTCTTATTTGTTCTTTGGTAATCAGGCCTGTCCTGTGTCCCTGTCCTGCCACCTCGCCGGGGTTCCTTCTACGTGGAGAGTGGTACTGGCATGTCGATTGGCAGTGTGCTAGCCTTCTGGTGCAGAGAGGGATACCAGCTGGTCGGCAGTGACAAAATCTCCTGCTATGTCAGAAGGGGAAAAGCCCATTGGAGCAACTACCTGCCCGTCTGTGAAGGTCTGTAGATCATCTCTGAATGTTTTTTTCCTTAATCATATATGCAACTTAGAAAAAAAAAAGACATTATTTTCTAAACATCTCAGGCTTAAAGCTGATTCTTACACCATAATCTAGATAGAAAAAAGGTTGGGGTTAAATCATCAGTTGATATAATTTTGTTCTGTCTTGTATCAGCAATCCCCAGACCGGAGGACAGAGGACTGAGAGTGGCGGTGTTAGCCTCAGTTGTGAGTGGCATCGTCATTTTTGCCATGTCCTTGTCCTTCCTCGTCTGCTGCCTGCAGGAGCGGTCAAGTCGGGACCGTGCCAAGAAAGAGGGCCGCAGCAGGTGGGCTTGAATACATGGCTGGGAAACTCATTCACTGTTGTCTAGTCGTGGTAAGCTGAAAGTGGTTCATCTTGGTCAGACGCAGAGAGAAGCGATCAGGTCGCCGCAGTGAGTGTTGGCTGGAGACAGAGGAAGGAGAGTGGGAAGCCTTCCCGCCACCAAAGATCTTCCACCTGTCCCAAAGGATGAACCCCCGCCTCGCTCCTGACAGTCCCCTCTACCTGACAGGAGGCCTCGGTGGATACGAGAACAGAGGATACCAACGGTACAGATGGTTTTTCACAAGGATTATGATGTGATCCTTAAGGCACATTGAGAGTCAAAATATATTATAAAATGTGAAGGTGTACTTTTTGTATTTATCCAACATATGATTATGAAAATATTGAATATACCATTAAATCATAAAATGTACAATCAAATAATTAAATACCCCATCAAACAATTAAAAATACATTCAAAATCATAATAAAGCAAATGTAATATAATAAATATACATGTTAAAAATATACAATAAAATCAGCTTGTCATAATTCTGGTCAATTTTAGCATTTTGTTGATTTTATTTGTTTGGGCATGTGCTGATTCATCAGTGCAAATGAAGAAAAATCAATGGGGACTAAAAATATCTGGGCCAAAAACTTGGGGATCAGTTGGACTAATGGCAGAATAATAAGCATTGGCTTTAACTTGCTTGACTTTGGATGGCTGGAAATCTAAATTCTTTGCATGCAAGATTTGTTTAAAATAATGTGTTCCTGTTATTCGAATCCACAGGCCGCCTCCTTGTGGTTCTTCCTTGTATTGTTCTGGTTTTACCCTAGCAGTTCCTGGAAAAAACAACAAGCCAGACTGATAATGTTTAGAATTAGTTCTACTCATTAATAATCGTGGACTGTTCCTATAGAATCTGTTCGTGAAGGAGGGACATTCAGCAGAACTGTCTGAGCTGGGTGAAGCAACACCTAGTGTCTGCCTACCAAAGTTTAGTTAAAGCCAATCACGGTAAAAGACCAAATAGCAGCAGACTCAATGAGAAACCACAACAGTTTATGCTTAACGCTCTTGCTGTTCCTTTTCCAAAGATAAAATCGTAGATTCTGACTAAACAGATGTGATAGCATTGTCCAGCGGCTGCTCTTGCTTTCGTCACATCTATACGTCCTACCTTGAACCACAATACCACCAGCCATTGGTTCAGTCTCGATTAGTTGAAGCCGTAGCCATGCAAGTTGGATTGCCGTGTTTTTGTGAAAAACACAAGAATTCAGCTTGTAGGCCAGGTTAGTCATTAGACATTAGCTGCAACTCTACAAGGCACCACTTTGTGGTTCTTCTTGAGGGATTTGCATTGTCCTATATTTATTTTCTAATGGTGAGAAAATGCTAAATGGAATGTCAGGCCGCAGTGTTCTTGATAGTATTAGCATTATTTTTTTCCAAACCCAAACACAAATGCTTTTAGGCGTCTATTGATTGCAGATTGTTGGAGCCTCTACCTTTCTAATGAACTTTAGGATTACATTCCTTCTGAATAAAAGCAGACTTTTTTTTTCTCTTCTTCTGTGTCCTGTTCAGGAGTCAGGAGAGTTTGCTGAAGACCTCCCTGCCTGGACTCTACCGTTCTGAGTCGCAGCTGTACCCACATGTGGTCCTTCAGAGGGTCCCGACCCCTACCGCGCCCTCTGCTCCTTCCGCGCCGTCGGCCCCAATGTATCTCCACCTTCCTCCATCTTCCTCTGGAGGATCCTCCCCGGCGCACACCACTACCCAAAGCCAGCCACCGATAATGGCACAATACCCAACACCAACATATCCGCCCAACCCCAACGCTGCTGTACCTGCCTACCCCCATCCAACACCAGCACCCATTTACCCCAACCCAAACCCGCCACCTCAGAGGCCATGGCAGTAACTTCCATCCTCTGATTCTGTAGGTTGTTCAAGCTGGATATGCAGTGAGCTCAGAGAAAGAGGGGGACAGACTTGAGTTCTAGAGAAGACCTTCTACTCTTTCTTATCCCCCTTTTCTCCCACAGAAGTCTGAAAAAACCCTGCTCCATTGCAGATAAGAAGGACAGGAGGCAAACGACAAAGCACTCCTTCTTACTGCATGTTTGATGCACTTTTCTGTGGCCAGAACTCAACCAGTCAATGGTTTGTTTTCTTAGGTCTTGCAGAAATAGAAGGTCCTCTTAGAAAACTGGTTTCTGCACCATTTTGCAAGGAATTCTATGAAACCAGTGAACCTAGGGGCTTGGGTTGGGGATAGAATTTGTGCACTAATCTAAAATATATAAGAAACATGCAACAGTAGGTGTGTTTGGGCAGCTCTAGGCCATTTAATTTATTTTCAGCCTTTTCCAGGTGTTTCTGATCTAAAAAAGATCTTAATGAAAGGATATATTTACCTTTGAGATTAGTTTCATGAATGCAGCTTTTCCTAATAAATTCTGGTACTTTCTAAACCATTAGTGACTGAAATGCTGCTGTTTTAAGTCCCTCTTGCACTGTTTGTTTAAACTATAGAGATGATTCTCAGCTGACCTGCGACACCTAAACAATTTGTATTTGTGGTTTCTCTATGTTATCTGACTGACAGATGTGATCTGATTTGCTTAGGGTAGAGCAGTTAAAGCTTTTGGTAGGACCAGGGTTTAAAAGAGTAACTCTTAAGCTGATGAAAATAAAAGTTTTAAAGGGATCCAGGACTAATTAAAGATGCTGGCCTGAATATGTTTTCATTTTCTTATTAACCTACAAATGTCCATTTTATGATACATCAAAACTCATATTTGCCTCATAGATGATATTGTTATATTTTTCACTCATGGAGATCACCATTTGTTAACCTGCGCAATGCATGCTGGGTTAGTGATGCAGTTAGGTCTAACTGCACTGAAACCTACAGAGTAAACGCAGGAAGGCTAACATTAGCAGAGTTGTTTGAATTTTGACACTGCAACAAGTGGCTGGCTCAAAGGCTACATTCACACTGCAGCCTGAAGTGACCTAAATCCTATTTTTTGCCCATATACGACCTGGATCTGATCTTTTCATGGCAGTCTGAACAACACAGATCCAATTTCTTCCAATCCAACCCAGGCCACTTGGCTATGTGGTCCTGAATCCGATATGAATCTGATCTTTTCAAATGCTTTTCAAACCTGTGTATGAACGGCCAGAACGTCATTTATACCCGACAAAGGTCACTATTCTGGGTCTTGCTAAGCAGAAGCGGCAAGAAAAACAACAACCATGGCAGATGATGATGCGGAGAGCAGTATTTATGTTTAACCATCTTGAAAATATTGAGTTTTTATGGTTGGAAAAGACCGCTAGATGCGTGCCGGCACTTACATCCATGTTTACTTTCGGAAAAAAAGAGCACGCTGGCCTAGGACTTAATTGCATCCTCTACTGTGCATGCGGGACACTTGTATTGTATGACTGCAGTTCACACAGGAGATCACATACAAGTCGCATATATTTGGAAATGTGAACTGCAACGTAAAAAAAATCAGATTTCACGAAAAAATTGGAATTGAGGATTAAGGCCTGCAGTGTGAACGTAGCCAAAGTTTTCATGAGCCATTATACAGAAGATATCTACAGAAACATTTAATGTGATCAGCTTGTGATCTAATGTTTACTATATTAGCTAGAGCTAAAACCACTAGCTACGGCTAATGTGAAATAAAAGATAACGAACAACCGATTAAAGTGACAGAAAGCCTCTTCCAGTCTTTGTAAAAGATAATTCTGAAAATGTTTTGATCCCGTTGCTAACCATAAAAAGCCTCAGAAACTTCACAAATATCAACACTCTCAGTGAACCATCTGATTCAACCTTTTCAGTTCGAACTGGAGTAATAGCTCCAAGCTAACAACTGGACAGTGCAAGCGCTACAGGACCTAGAATACATCATTTACTCTGCAAGTATAGTAGCATAAACATATGGCAATAATATTGTATTTAAAGTCGTAGATAAGCGGCTGTTCAGACCGTTGCATTTCCAAATTCTCCCGAGTGGTGCCTCGATGAAAAGAGATGAAAGTGCTTTACACAAGTGAATAAAGTGAATGTGATTGGTCGTTTATTAAAGGTCGAGATTATTGTGGCCGAAGGTTCGCAAGCAAGTTTGGTTGTGGCCAGTTTGTCGGAAGCATCTTGCTAACCAGTTAGCAACTTAGTGCTAGTAGGTTCCCAATGGGAAATTCCATTGGGACCAAGTAGCACTAAATTGGTGACTTAGAAAACGACACTATCTAGGAACGCTATGGACAGTGGAAACATGGAAGAGGAGGAGAGTTTAGTGTCAGAGGTCGTGGATGAGTCTCCGTCATCCATTTTTTATTCAGAGGAGGAAAGCGGGGACAAAGATGTTGTGGAAGAGGACGCCAGGGCGGCAGAAGCTTGGTTTGGTGTAGAAGGCTTACAGCCGTACATGTTTGAGCCCTTGCCTCGCAACGCTGCCAGTTCTGTTAGCTCTACGCCTGCTGAAGACACAGACGTCCATCCCCGTGAACACTGGGATGGAACTCGGTGGTAAAGTACTTATTTCAACGGTTGCATATATTAGCTGCAACATATGAATCAAGATGCTATTACCGAAAAAATTTCATTGACAGATGACTTTTGATATATGATTGGCCGAATTTAGGTGTACAAGCTGACATATAACTAACTGGCCTGCATAAGATAACGAGAAAAGAAAAAATACACAGCCTTTAAGACAGGATTTTTTTTTTTTATAGAAATGTTCTAAATTTTGCGACAATATAGCCTGATAAAGAGTACATTTATATACATGTTTAAGCCAGAATGATTAGAAATTTAAATATGATTTCCCTACGAATTTAAATGTATTAAAAATTAATAGTTTATAATATTTAAAAGGACTGTTTATTTACATAGAAACTAAATATTTCTCAAATAAACTCTATTATTACAATTACAAAATAGATTCCTTTAAGAATGTGTCATGTTTTACATCATTAAAGTTGTATTACAAATGGAAATGAATTGCAAACTCTGCTATTGTGTGTCCACTTCAAACATATACAGTCCCTGGCAAAAGTATAAATATATCTTACAGTTGCAAACCTAGAGGGTATCCACCCATGTTTTTTGTTGATCTTTGACCTGATCAGACAGGAAAAGTTCATGAAGAACAGTTTTTCGATTCTTGTTGCAGATATTCTGTTGGATTTAATTTAGGAACAACTAATAAATTAAAATAATATTTATCTAATCTGTTTCATTGTTTTTCTTGGTGTATGCTTCATCCCAGTTGAAGGTCCATACCAGCTTCTAGAGGTTGATAAAGAAATATCATCCCTGCAGCATGAGACTGAGGAAATTTTGTCAGATATTTATTATTAAAAAATAGAAACCTATTTCATTAATTTCCTTCTAGATTCCAATACCCTACATTACATTACATTAGTTTTTTTCACATTAAAGCTCAATGAAAGATATCAAGGTTTGTTTGTATCTTGATAAAATGTGGAAAAGTTCAAGAATACTTTTCCAAAGCTCTGTAGTTTAACAATAATCTTCATTTTTTTTTGTCCCAGTGGTATCATGTACGCATTTAGGTTTAATGTGAAATTTTTTTTCTTCTTCTTTTTATTTTATTCTATTAGTTGAACTTAAATTAAAATGGAAATAAAGTCACAGTCTTCTGTTTTTGAATGGGTTGAGTCGGATAGACTTTCATAATTTCTGAAAGTGAACTGCTGTGTAAGATGTATTAAACTGAATAAAATATTTTTATTTTAATGTGATCGCCTGCTTTTTATTTCTAACAGTTACAGAAAACTTGGTTACTCTGCAAAGACTGTACCATACTTGGTACCCAGTATGGCAAAAAACAATTAACGTTCTTAACTATAGGTGCATTTGCCATCTTTGGCTTCATCAGCTGCCATAAACCAGAGTCTTCCACGTCTTTTTAAGAGCGGAAGAAAATTATATCCCAATATTGTTCCTAATTTAACACCCAGTTTAAGGTAAACACATAGCCTTTTAAACAAACTTTAGTCAAAACGTTGACTTTTAAGCTTAGCGTATTTAGATTTCTTCTATACAAATTTGACTTGTTAACTGATATGGTTGATGCATCGTTAGAGAGACAACCAATAAGAAAAATTTTGCATTTATGGAGAAAAATCAACATTTATCACCTGCTCATTTGTTTTGTCACTTCTTGGTTTGAATGTGTTTGCATGTCGTGGCACAGGAGCGCAGCCAGGCTGGTTACAAACTGAGAATTCTCCAAGGGGTAAGAATGCTTTTATATGTCGTTCTACTTAGTACCTCGTCTGCAAATAAAAAACAAAATTGCTTTAGTGTTTATTTTGTCATTTAAAGCCTTTTAGCTAATTTCTTTTAACATTTTATTAAAAGTGTGAATTGAACAAATAAATCAAATTTCAGGCTAAAGAGATCTTGATTTATTTGAACACATCCTCCAAGCTAAATCAGGGCATTTTTAGGCATTACTGTTTGCAGGCCTGGACAAAAACCACCTTCAGAGAATTTGTTCTATCCTGTTTAGTTGAAACACTCCACTATCTTTGTCCTGGTGTTGCAAGGCAGGGGGGGGAGATCCAAGCACAGCACACATCTGGTGAAAGTCTGAAAATATCCCCAAAACCCTGCAGGGATCCGCAGCACGAGCGCAGAGACATTTCTGCCTCCAAAAATATTTCTGCTCAAAATTCTGTGCATCAGTGGCTTCCAACCAGTCAGGAACTCGCCGATCTGAAGGGACGCCAAAGATCAGCAGGTTTTCACCTAGAAATAGTTCTTAATTTTAGAGGTGCACACTTAGGCATAATTTTTAAATATCAAAGTAAAAAGAGCTTGATAATTGCATCCGTTTCTATATTGGTTTGTGCTGTTAGCATGTTTCATGTTTTATGGATGTAAGATCCAGTAGGGGTGGACATTTTAGGAGAAAAAGACGATTCTCTATCTTTGTGAGCTTTTTTTATTTGGAGTGCTAATCTTTTAAGCAACAGGTCTATCCTCTGAAGGCCATTCCAAGTTAAATAAAACCAAAGACCCACCCCTTGTTCACCTGGGTTGTTGAAGTATGGTTTATGTGTTTGAACATTTGCCAAAGATTTTTTTGGATTTTGGATAGGTGCCAAACATCTCCAGAAAAACTGATTAAAAGTCCAGTTGCCTCTGATTTTAAGTTCTTTTGTGGTTGCCATGAGCCAGCAGATTTAGAATTTCCACAGCCATAATGCATTCGAAGGGTCTCTGACTGTTCCATATACTTCCAAAGTCATTTTGAACAGGGGTTGCTGTGACATTTTTTGTTTGTTATTTTTGGATAAAAGACCTATGGGCCTATAGACCTATTTAAAATACAATAAATAAGTAGATTATGATTAAGTAGTTTGTTGTTTATTATTCAATACTACGCATTACACAACCAGGGTCTGTAACACAAAGACACCATCAGTTCTCAGGTGAATACACGCGCTATTAATTAAACTTTACAATAACACTATAACAATATAGAATTGGTCAGCTGGCATGAACATGAGTCACAGTGTTTATGTCACATGTGACTCTATTAGCTCCAAAATCTTTTTATGCAAACCTCAAGGAAATAATTATATTATTATACCATTTAAACGTTACTGAATAGGATCAGGATAAAGTACCTCTTTACTCAGCGATCACAAGCTTGCTTGACGTTTCCATGACAACGCAACTTCCATGAACTTGTGTCGATCAGGCCTCAAAATAATTAAATTAAAATCCAAATACATGTAATATTAAAAAACCAACGCTTAATACTTTGCACAAATATTTACATTTTTCAAAGTATTTTTAATAAATTTTTTAAAACTGCATCTGTCTATTACACTAATTTCACCATCAGATTGAGGGCCAGTTGTTGCAAAGTGAGGACGTTTTGACGGTCCTCACATGCTATTTTACTAATGGTTAGGTTTAGGACTAAGGTGTCAATTGGGTTAGGGTGAGGTCTGCAATGGTAATGGTTAGGTTTAGGATTAGTTTTAGGGTAACGGCATAGAAATTAAGGGTTGAAAATGACTGAAAATCAATGGAAGTCAATGGGAGTCAACACATGGTCCTCACTACGTATAGCAGAACAAGTGTGGGTGTGTATGTGTGCAGGTAGTATCTCAATGAATATAAACTTTTGATTCAACAGAACTCAGTTGGAAGCAATCCTAAAAAACAGACAGCAGCATGCGTCTTCCTGACATCTTCAATGAAGAAAACTCT